TGGTTCTCCCAGCTCCTCCCTACCCAGTTCTCAGTAGCCTGAGTGATCCTGGAGAAGGGACATATTCCCTGTCTCTCAGACACTAGAGATCTGTGGGACTGCAGGTAGAAGCTGGTGCCACTCAAGGCTTAGCCTAATGCTGGGCAGTAACTTAATACTTAATAAATGCTTCTGATGGTTTTTCTTTGCCTAGTAAGTAATCAGATTAGTAGTCATTATTATAAGGGAGAAAAATGCTTTTGGTTTTCTCAGGATTCTTGACAGAATGCTTCTTGGAGGCATGCAGGGAGATACAGAAATTTTCTCAGAGTTTACTGGTTTAGAGTTTATCTAATAATTCCCATTTCTGAGATGGTGAGCTTTCCATTTAAATAAAGTTTAAGGTTGCTATCTGCCTAGTCATACCTAGGCACACTCAAAAGTTCCATTCAAGTTCCCTGAATGGAAGGTGTCAAGAAATGTTGTCCCTTGGGGCTGGAGAGATGGCTCAGTGGTCTAAAGCACCTACTTGAAACAAGCTTGGCAAAGCACAGGGACCGCGGTTCGATCCTCCAGCACCACATGCCGGCCAGCCGTGCCCCCTGGTGGGCTGAGCTGGCCACACACACACTAAATAAATGTTAAAAAAAAAAAAAAAATTAAAAAAAAAAAAAAAAAAATGTTGTCTCGGGGCCAGCAAGATAGCTCAGTGGACTAAGCGCCTGCTTAGGCAAGTGCAGGGACGGGGGTTCGATCCCCAGCACCACATGCTGCGTTGGCCCCACCCTAGAAGAAAAGAAATGTTGTCCAAGGATGGTGAGTGGTGTATGTGTTGGGGAAAGGTTCTTTCATCAGACCAGATGGCTTTCCAGGCCTGGCTCCCAGTCACTGTCTGTGTCCCTGGGTAGACTTCCACCATTCCAAGCTTCAGTTTACTCATATACAAACTGAGGCCCTCAGATCACAGCCCAGGACTGTGCTGAGCAAGAAGTGAGACTACGTGAGAGCATGTTGCATAGTACATAACTTGACCTTGGCTCATGGTGGCTTTTTAAGTAGAAAGCAGGGTCAGCAATAGCTGCTGCTTTTTTCAGGGATGTGAAAAATAAATGCAGCCTAGATTTTCTAAGTCCTTTAACATTAGTGACTGTCCATTAAGTGTCCTCTGAAAAAAAAATGGTCTTCAGTCAGCTGAAAAGGTTTCTTTGGCAGGCGGGTGACAGGCCACGTGTGTCTCCTGTATTCCTGTGGTCTGACCCAGCCTCCCCGCTCTCCAGTTTCTACCTTAGCTGCACCGGCTTCCCAGAATGCCGACTGGCCATGTGGTTTCCTCCCTCAGTGCTGGAGGTCAGCAGGGATGAGAGCGTGTGTCCTGTTTGTAAACCAGCCCCCGTGTACAGGTGAGCTGAGTGCGAAGGGGTACCCACAGAACATCTTTCCCTTTCTGCTGCCGAAATCCACGTGAGACATCCAGGGAATGTCATCTTCGGGCATTGCATCATTTCAGCTACTCCTGCAACAGCCGAGGCAGGCAGTTCTGCTGTTTTCATTGTGGCCCAGTTGCGGGGAGCTCCCTGTGTCCTGAGGACATTAGGAGGTAGCGACTCCCTGACCTCTCCACACAGATCACTCAGCACAGGGCTCAGGGAATTATTCACATATTAATAAGGTATCCATGCTCCTCTAGAAAGTCCAGAGTACCAGGGCAGGTCAGTGGTACCAACCTCTTGGTCACTGAAGCACACACACCCTATGAAGCCATTGAAAAGCCCAGATAGCTTTTTTTTTTTTCCACAACCAGGGATTGAACTTAGGCCCTTGCATTTGCCAGGGAAGCACTTATTCCACTGAGCCATCTCCCCGGCCCAGAGACATCTTTTAAATATTCATTTATAGAAATTCATTGCTTACTAACATGAATTTTTAAAGTGACTTTTAGGGCAAAATCCCTAATTTCCAAAGCAAAAATATACCAATGAAGAGGATGACGTTGCTTTACACGTGCAAAATTAGATTCCCATCTGCAGGGCCGAGAACTCAAGCACAAGAGCCTGAGTTCAATCCCCGGTTGCGCAAAAACAAAAACAGAAAAGATTCCCATCTGCCCTTTCATTCAGACGTGCATGTGTTGTCACCTCTGGAAAACTATTGTACAGAAGAACGAGAGCAAACTATATAGGGCTTCTCAACGTTCTTAGATTACACCTCAACTTGGAAAGCTGTACAACCATACTTTGAGAACCATTGGTATAACGAAATGGAGGCTTTCAGTGGTATCGATATGGGTGATTAATTGGGTGATTTCATATGCTCTGCTTCCCACTCTGCACTCCTGTGTGCAGCCAACATCCTGTGATGTTGGTACAGGGCTCATGGTTGGCTACCTATGGCTGCCTTGCATGAGCTTCCTTAGGGAATAAGGGATTGGCCTGAGAGCACCTTCTGTGGATGAGGAGAAGATACTGAGCAGCTAGTAATGTTTTGTCTTATCTTCTGACCTCACTAGGTTGAAGTTCAAATTCAAGCGTGGGAGCCTTCCCCCAACCATGCCCCTGGAGTTTGTGGGCTGCATTGGTGGATGTGATGAGACCCTGAAGGAGATCCTAGGCCTGCGCTTTTCACAGGGTCCTCCCAGAAGCAGCCAGCCCTCTGGCCACCTTCAGGCTAGCCAGTCAGTGAACAGGATGGACAGCAGCCACTCTCACCCTCCCGGCAACAGACAAACCAAATCCTCACAGCCTCAGGCCCAAACTGTCCTGCCAGCTGCTGCCATTGGTGAGAGCAACTCTGTGACTTGTAACTGTGGCCAGGAGGCTGTGCTGCTCACCGTCCGCAAAGAGGGCCCCAACCAAGGTCGGCAGTTCTACAAATGCAGCAGTGGTGCCTGCAACTTTTTCCTCTGGGCCAATGGTGGCCATCCTGGAGCAGGAGGAGCCCCTACCTCTGTGTCAAGGCTGCCAGGCACCTCCCTTGGATACCAGTCAGGCTTAGGTTACCACTCTGGTCAGCTCAACAACTCTGGCAATGGCAATGGCAGCAACACATCCTGCCTGTGCAGCCACCCTGCTGTCAAGAGGACAGTGCAAAAGGATGGTCCCAACAAAGGGCGCCAGTTCCACACATGTGCTAAGCCACGGGATCAGCAGTGTGGCTTCTTTCAGTGGGCTGATGAGAATGTGGCCCCAGGTGAGTTGGCAGAACTTGTAGGTCCTGCTTAGGTTTTTCACCCCACAAACCAGAGATGACAGAAGGAAGGCAGGGATTATAGTGGGATTGCAGTGGGCTCCTAGCTGTCTTACTCCTCCTATTTCCTCATTGGCCACTTTGAGCAAAGCAGTGAACCAGTCTTTCCAAATTAAAGAGCCACTACTATTAACTGGTGTTTTCACTGTGGCTAACACACAGAATTTACGCAAAGTTACTCCAGTTCTCAATTATCAGGACCATGCCCAAGAGCCTAGGATATTTAGAAGTATCAGGTAGCATAAGGTGATAGATGGGTCAGATTTTGACATAGAGCTTTCCTAGAGAAGAGGGAGTATAATACATACACCCCCTTCCAACACTACCTGTATTGTCATGTCAGGGTGTCAGTTCTAAATTCAGCTTTCCTCTTAACTTTTCCCACAGGGACTTTTGCAGCCCAGCCTTGGCCAGGAGGAAGAGAAAACACCCAGGGTTCAGAAGCTAGGAACAAAAGACCCCGGACCAGTTCCTCAGATCCAGGGTCCACAGCAAAGAAATTACGCAAGTGCAGTTTATGCCACCAGCCTGGACACACCCGGCCCTTCTGTCCTCAGAATAGATGAAAGCAGTACAGAGTAGAGAGGGCCACTTTCTCAGCCTGAGACTCTGTAGAGACTGAGGAGTGATGGGCTTTTCTTTGCTAAAGAACACAAAGTCTAGACCCTCAAGAAGGTTAGCTCTGCTGGACAGTGGCACTCTTCGAGCGCTCTAAAAGGTGACCACAGCCACCTGCCGAGAAAAAGAGCTGCTGCCCTGTGACTCCCCACACCCCAGGGATGGTCCTTGGTAGCATGTGCTGAGGCCGGCAGCAGAGGATATAACCACTGGCAGCTGTGAACTCTTAGCTGTTGCCTACTCACTGCAAGCCAAGAAGCACCCAGGGCTTTCTCGGCGAGGAGGCAGCACTTCCCTCAGGCACTGAGCAGCCAGGATGGAGCGTCTCTCCATGACCATACTGGGAAGGAGGGCATCATACTAGGAAGTGGCTCTTCTAACACCAGATCTTCAGGAGTAGCTCCATTTCCACTTCATGTAGAAGCCCAGACACCCCTAGCTCATGTGCCTTAGGAAAAAATTTATTGTTTACTCTGACAAGTGGTGGTACAGCACAGTGTCTTCTAACATTTGTAGGAGTGAGGGCATCTGCTAGCCAGTAGTGGAGGAAGCACTCAGCAATACTGTCTGGTGGCTTTTAGAGCCAAGCCCCATTTGTCACTTGGCCTCTCCAATTTGTCACTTGGCACAAAATTGCCACTGACCATCTTCCGCCCTTGCAAGCAATGCACTGTGAATAGTATAGTTGACTTGGCTCTTATACAGTTCAGAAAAGAAGCAGGAATGGGGTGTGAATTACATGATTGCAGTAGTGAGGCCAGTAGCAGAGGACATAATTGGTGGCTGTGAACTCAGCTGTGACCCACAGTGATACTGCAAACCAAGAAGCATCACTGTCGCAGTTAGCAAAGAAATTATTCTCAGGGTCTGGGACTGTAAGCCCCTATCCTTCATTAGGCCAGCCCTCTGCTCACTGGGTGTCAGGACAAGGGGCTCCAACTACGAATTCCTGGCCTTGTTCCTGATGCAGCCTAGTCAGCAGGTGTGGGTCCCAGCCTGCAGTGCTGGCTTTCCCAGTCCCCAGCAACCGTCTACCTGCTGTTTGTTTCTGCTGCCTTACCTATTATGGACATTTTACATAAATAGAATCATATAATACATAAACTGTGTCTGGCTTCTCTAACATGATGTTTTTAAGGTTCATGCTCATTGAAGCATGGGCCAGTACTTCATGGCTGAATCCTAAGTCCCCCTTATTTGTGAGGAAAATATGCTCCAAGACTCCCAATAGATGCCTGAAATCTGGGATAGTACTGAAACCTCTGTACAATATACTGTTTTTTAGTTAACAGTTCATTAACTGTGAGAGTGAGAAACAGGTTGGGGATGTTGGTGTGGTTGCCAGCACAAAAACTAAGAACATTTTAACACTCAAATAGAGTAATTATAACAACTATTTCATGTGTTCTGTGAATATGATCACTCGAGAGAATCAAGACAGTATTTTTGGACCACAGTTGACCACAGGTAACTGAAACCACAGGTGAGGGAAGACTATAACACTACATTTTGGGTACTACGTTACGCTTGTCATTTGAACATTTGAGTTTCCACATTGTAGCAGTTGTGGATAGTGCGGCTATGCACATTTGTGTGTGAATATTGATTAGTTTTCATTTTGGGCATATGATGAGGAATGGAATTTCAGGATTGTTCAGTAACCCTGTTGTAACATTTTGAGAAGCCACCAAATTCTACAGTGGCTGTACCATTTTACAGTCTTACCAGCTACATACAATGGTAACTTATTTTTCCACATCCTTCTTAATACTTGTTACCTTCCTTTTGTTTTGTTAGTTTGGCTTTGTTTTGTAGTACAGGAGATTGAGCCCAGGGTCTTAAACGTACTACTGTGCAAGCAGTCTGCCACTGAGCAAAACCCCCAACCATTTTTTTTTT